CATAAGTCTCAACAACCTCTACTATATCATTTGTAGTGAAGAGCTGAATTTTGTCGCTAGCATCCTTTCCTCTCAATTCAACCCAAATCCTCAAATCACCCTAGCTGCTACAAAAGGATGTAGTCGCCATCACTCCTTCCAACCTGGCAACACTAGAGGATGCTACTTGCCCATTAACCATAAATTTGATCAAATAACTTGTACTCACCCTTGCGGCGGCAAGTCCACAACCCCTACTCCATGTCATATATGCAGCAAGCTAGGTCACACAACCATCAAATGTTGGCACTGTACCAACCTTTACCTCCAATCCAATCCTCAAGGCTTGTTTACAAATCCTCTGCCACCAACCACACGTTGGTATCTTGATTTAAGGGCTATTTCCCACTAACTTTTGATCCCAACCAGCTCCAAATGCCTCATTCATAACCAACAATAGGTGTACTTTGGTAATGGACAAATACTACCCACCTCCAACATTGTCAAGGTCTCCTTCTCACACCAAGCATTAAGCTTCTCCTATCTCAACTATTTCATATCCCAACTCACCCACAACCTGCTCTCTGTTCAAAACCTTACTTCTGATAACCCTACTATATTATATTTAATGCATTCATTTACAAAATCAAGGATCGGATGAACCACCGTACTCTCCTCCAAGGTCCATGTCATCAAGGACTTTATCCAGTTAGTCTCTTCTCTGCCACATTTCAGCTCCCTAACTCACCATGCCTTGCTTGCCTCTTCGTCCAACTCCACTCCATAACATCATGGCTTTATCACCCCTTATCCACCACACAGTCTCATATGAAAAAATTAACTAACTAAATTGAACATTGCACATCATGCATTATTGCCAATATCAATATGTTGCCTTTCTTTGTTTCTCTACATGTAGTTCTTCTCCATAAAAATGCATTCAAATGAATGTGTGGGATCCCTCAATCGTTTATAATCAATGATATAAATACTGTCTTGTTAATTGATGACTTCTCTCATTTCCGCTGAGTATATCCAATGAAACTAACATATGAAACCACTATGAAATTTTTACAATTTAATTACCTTTTGAACAACTACTCCATTAGAAAATAAAACTCTCTGATCAGACAAAGGTGTCCAATACATAAACACCACTTTCCATAAACTTTTCATTGATTGTGGAACCAGTCATCAAAACAATTGACCTTATACCCCAAAACAAAATGATGTTGTCGAACAAAAATATAGCCACAAATCGAAACCATTCTCACAATCATGATCGATGCCCACTCACCTTATTGACTATGGGGCAGCATACTACAAATAGTCATCTATCTAATTAATAACCCCCCCCCCTCAACAAACAAAAAACTCTCTCCATATAAATTACTATACAATCAAACACCACAATACTCCCGTCTTATAAACTTTGGATGCCTATGCTACCCGTAACTCCAACCGCATGCAACCGAACAATTTGCTCCTTGATCTATCTCATGCATCTTCTTCGATTATAGTCCCACATCCAAAGTTTAGAAATTTTTTAACCCAACTGCATCTCACAACCCTACTTGAGAGCTCAAAGCACTAAGGGAATAACATATAGTCAGATGGATACATGAAATTTCAACTACTAGCATCAACTAATATCAAAATGATTGTTTCACTTTTTCATAAAAACAACTTCAAATATATTGAACGAGCTACTAAATCAAGAAATTCTTTCTATAATAAAACTATAATAAATTTAATGTAAATACATTTCTCTTATAGTGCCATGCCTATGATAAATTGATGCTCTTCATTTGCTCATTTAGTTCTTAGCATCTTACCATGAAAATATTAGTTACAATGATGATGAGTTATCATCACTCAACAAATATATCATATTTCTAAATTACAACAATATAACGGAATTCAAAAATAAATATGCATGCTTGATATCAAAACTTAGCATAAATCATTTGGTGATCCATTGTTTTTAAATATGTCCATGCAAGATTTTTAAAATCTTTTTTTACATACATGTAATCATATCATATATCATATTTCTTATTTCTTATGTAACACAACTGTTATAAGAGTCACCACCTGGATTATATCATTTAAGGTACATCTATTTTCATTTTCTTTCAAATCTTTTCTATGTTATCCACACTCATAGATTGCATACCCAACCAACCATAACAGATGAACTCCATAAGTCAATATATACGTGCAAACAGTTCTATATAGTTCATTTCATCCACATTTTTTATTTCATTTAATAAATTTTTATAATACACATTACATGTTATAATTAATTGAAACATGATATGATAAATATCACTAGTTCAATGTGACCAATAATTTCAATGATAAAAATAAATCATGATTGAATTTACAATAAATATTAATTGATCAAGTATCGATGTCATTTAAATGTAATTGGTTTAGAATAAACAATATATTACCATAAATTAGATAAATGAGTACCCACCTCAAGTTCAAATGACATGCTTTTGCACTTTAAACTTTAAATTCTATCTTGATTACTTCGATGCCTATAATGACATACAAGCCATTCATATTAATTAATTCTACAAATCTATTTCTATATACTATAATTTAATTACCTCATCCAGTAATATCATTATTTTATTCAAGCATAGAAGTTATTATTAATTAATATTTAGAACAATTAAATCTAATGTTTATCCATATGTACAACTCATCATTAACACATAAATTATCTATTCAAGTATGTAAATTATCCTTTATAAATCTAGTTTATTACATAGCATAGAATTAAATTACTAATTTTTAACATCATATAACCAAAATCTTATATAATCATTTAATTTATACTACATATTATAGAATTTGCTCTATTATTATTTTTTTCTTAATATTTTCTTCCATTAAAAATATTTATACATTATACTTAACACACACACACACACTACAGCACTACATGCAAAATAGTCATCTCCTACATGTCACATTTCAATAACACATTCCCCTATCACTCTTCTAACCACCTCTCTTCACCCCATCTAGCCATCACATACATTATGCCTCTAACACCAGTACTAGCCTCCACTCCTTAGTCAGCACATACAACCACCACAAAACTATCCTCCAATACACTCCCTTAATCTACTCCTATAACCTCTACTTTAACACCACAAACCACATCCACCTTAGTTCCCCCACTAACAGCTAGCTGCTAAATTTCTTACATGATCCGATTGCTCAAACTCCATAACTTCAACACCTCCTTCAACCTAATCTACTTCAAGTCTAATCCATTATCACCATAATGATCAAACTAGACATACCATGCTCACTCGTAAGCAGAACCGGCAACCTTAAACCTAAACGCATATTCACCCTCAACCAAATAACACACGCCCTCCCGACCCAACCTATTTTTCTCAATCTGTTAAACATGAAGTATGGCAAAAGGCTATGTCACAATATTTCAAAGCTCTCCAAGCTCAAGGCACCTAGCTCCATGTTCCACCTTCACCATCTCAAAACATATTAGGTTATAAATGGACCTACAAGACCAAATTAATTATGATAGCTCAATCACCCATCATAAAGCAAGACTAATCGCTTAAGACTATAAACAAAAATATGGTATTGATTATATAGAGATCTTAAGTCCAATGGCTAAGATGACTACCATAAAAATCTTTCTTATAGTCGCTACCACAAGCAACTAGCCTATCAACTTGACATTTCCAATGCCTTTCTCCATGACACCCTTGAAAAGACCATATACATGCCCCAACATTTTCTACATAATCAATCAAATATGTCAACATATGAATATCTTCCTCAACACCCACTTTCAACAACTAAAAAGATTATTTGGTCAGCTAATCTATCATAATAACTATTTCCTCCAGGCTTATTCTGACTTCAATTGGGCAAGCGATCTCCACAGCCGGGTGTTATGCATTCCTAGGTCATACCCTAATTTCATGGTGTGTAAAAGAAACAACATACAGCCACACGGCCCTCCACCGATGCTAAACATCATGCTCTTGCACTAATTGCCATAGACATTGTTTGGCTACAACATCTTTTCCAAGAATTCAACATTCCAATGACTCAATCCAAACCCTCATAATGCACTAACATCTCTACTCTCGCACTCGCCAACAATCTCATTTTTCATGTTTGGACCGAATACATTGAATTTGACTATTATTTTATTCGTGACTGCATTAAATCACACAGCATCACAGTTCATCACATCACCACATAGAATCAACTAGCATACATTATGACCAAAGCTCTACCCACCAAACAATATCTACATCTACAAGACAAGTTAATGATCCATCAATGGCCTATTAACTTGCAGGGAAGTGATAAGTAGCGAGCAGCAACCACAAAGAAATCTGAACACATTTCCATCACTACCTGCTGTAAGAACAGCCACTTCAATCTGTTGTACATCGCAATCATTCATCAGAAACAATCCATCTCCTCCTAGTTATACGATTGAAACTAAACAAGCAGTACTCCAAAGCCTTTACGCCTTGGAGGTGTATAAATACATATATTGTTAGTCACTACTGTGTGAAGAAATGAAATGCAGTTTTGCGTTTTGCGTATTCCACCGTATCTCATAGTTCTATGTATCACTTCTCTACTTCTTATTATACCTACAGGCTTTTGTACATCTTCATCATGGCCTTATTGAAAGTTCAAAGATAGGAATCTTGAAGCAATTTTTTACCTTCAAGAAATTTAACATCTGTGTAATTATCCAGTACAGGTTTTGCTAGTGGAATTAGGGTTTCCAAAGTTTTGCAAAAAAAAAAAAAAAAAAAGGTAAAAACCTGATGCACAACAACCGTAAATAAAGAAAACCTGAAATTTCCGATGGTTCTCCTATTGGCACATATGCCTCCCAATTAAATAGGATTTGTACTCCTGATAGGAAAACATTGAAAGAAGAACTCGAATGGCATGGAAGAAAACAAACGATAATGGTCATAAAAGGTAGCGACAGCGGATACCAGTAGCAGGGAGTGTGCGTGAAAGATGAGAACTTAGGGTAGGAATTCCAGCCCGAAGTCGACGGAGCAAGCGACAAAAGGGTGGGGACGGCGGTGACTACGGCGCGGTGGTCGTCTCCAACGCTGCTGCTCTCGGCCATCGATTGCGCCAAGGTTCGATTAGAAGTGCTAGATAATTAGCCGTACAACTGATATTTAGGTTTTTTTTAAAAAAACATTTAGATCCATTAAAACAAATTCATACATCCCTCGTATAAACTAAGACTCAAACTCAATACTTCTTTAATTGATAATCACAACTTCTAACCAACATATCAAGATAAACGCGTAGGTATTCATGTCATATGAGTCTAGTTCGAGCAGACTGACTTTAAAAATTTATGCTTTCGATTTGGACTTAACATGGACGTCTCACAATCAAATTGGACTCTAAGAAATTTGACTTTTCGTTGACCTCATTACTATGTGTCCAATTATAGGCTTTGTTTGGAACAACATTGTTGTTTTATAAAGCTGTCATGATTTTTATACTCCACAATTTTTATTTTGCCACTATCTTTTTTGCTTTTAAAAAATTGTGTACTAGACATTATTAAAAAAACATCCCAAATGAAACCTAAGTCATATTCTAATTATAGACATTATTATTTGAATTTGATTCAGATTAACCCGAATAATCCAAATCAATTCAAATTAAATCCAATTATTATTTGGGTTTGGGGTTAATGTTAGGTTAATTGGGTTAAATTTAAATAGGACATACTTTGATTAGTTTGGCCATGTTGATTAAAAAAAATTACATAACCTATATAATAAATGAATTCGATTAGTCAGGTTTGAGTTAGGAATTTTTTAATAGAGTGTGATTTTGATCAAATATTTTAATAGATTTAATAAGTCAAATTTTGATCAAGCATGTTTGATTTATGTTTAATCCTAATTAGACCCATCAGTCCAAATTTACACTCGTAAGGAGAAATTTAAAATTTTTAGTTGACTCTAATAAAAAGTATCACTTTTATAAAATGTTTTTTTAAACTAAATATCATTGAAATTTTGGGAATTGAATGCACATAAATGATAAATCCTAGTTTAGAAATAGGGATACAACAACAACAATAATAAACACTATCATTGTCATGACACAAGTCCTTGATGAGAAAGTGAAGGATTGTGTTAAGTATTCGACATCCAGCTTAAAATTTATCGAATAATCATGATGAATCCAAAAATAAGGTTGTTGCCAAAAAAATTTAAAGATGAGCAAAAGAATGTCCTCTTTGTAGGTGTTTTAATAAGAAAGCATTTTCATTGGAAAACGCTTAAATATTGGGAATGCTTGGTGATAGGGATTTTCAATGAAAATGTCCAACTAATCAGCATTTTCTGGTGGTCTCCCTTTTAAAATTTCTTGTAACTGTATAATAAATGGATAGTTGCATAAATTTAGAGAGGGAAGAGCAACAACAATACTTTTATTATTGAATCTAATGATTCGTTAGGATGGCTTGCTTAGGCAAGTTCCTCATTGGGTTGAGATTTACTTAGGCAAGTTCCTCCCCTCAATCAAATTTATATGCGGAGTGTGTTTCCTTAGTTGTGCTTCTATGGGGTGAACTTCACTAGAGTGAATATCTTCCCTTGTTAAATCATAATGGGATAGATTCCCACTCTGAGTGAGGTATATCTTGGACATATGCACAGCTTGGCCAAGGTCCTCTGAGGAGAGCTGTGATGGTCCCTACAAGTTTTTTGTAGCTGCATATTGGAATGTATGTATAATAAAATTGAAGAAAGATTTTCATTTTATGCTCTTTCTAAATATTTTCTTAAACTAGACATAATCACTAATTTATAAGTATATGGCTACTATATATATATATATATATATTAGATTAATCTCATCCCTAATTTCAACAAAAAAAAATGTAACTTAAATCGTCCCAAAAAAAGTTTATTTGCTTTGTATCATTCTCCTTGCAATCCAGTTTATGATCAAGTTAATTTTGATGTAAAAATTATCTGCAATCGAAAGGGGAAAAAGGCAATGCAAGAGAGTAGAGCTCAACCTCTTATAAAGCATATTAGCGTAAGTGTTAACATTATATTTAATGTAATTAAGAAAATAAATTTTATTTAGGGGCTGTATGGCTTGAAGCAAAATAAGTGTAAAATATTCCAAATGCAGTGATTTTAAAATTATTGGTATTTGGTTTGAGTATAGAAAATATAGTGTAAAATTTTGATGCATTTGAAATTCATCTTTTCATTCAATTTTAGTGTATTAGAAATTTCTTAGATTTGGGTGAGTTCCAAATGCACCATAAATTCATCTTCATTGTCACCACCACTGGAATCCATAATTGCAGTAGGCCACTACCCATCTTTGGTAGCCATCTTCGACCAACATTGTTGTCGCCGGCCACCAGCTACCACCACTGCACGTCTTCGTCACTGCCACCCACCGTTAGTCACCCTTGGCCCCCGCCTTAATCGCCATGAGTCACTGCCCACCTCCAGCCACCACCAATCACTGTCACTATCGACAATCACCACTGGTCATTATCATCGTGGTTGACCTACCACCTCCAACCCTCCACCATCAATCACTAATCACCACTCTCTTTAAACTTTACGCTGCATTAATTTTATTTCTAGCCAAATAAAAAAAATAGCATGCATTCTTAAATTAGCAATCCAAGTATGAAATAAAGGACAAAAAACTTAACTACCACCCATTGAGAGAATGATGAAGTTTTTATTTGGTCATCAATTGAGATGTGATGCATGGATATTATTATTGTAGGTCACATATTTAATGTCAAAAAAAGAAAACAAGGCTCAGCAAGTAAAAAATTAGGCAAGATATTTCAACCTTGCAATAACTGATAAGAATTTAAATTCAAAAAACCTTAGAAGTTGGATTTATCAAGAAATTTCAATACCTATAATACATTTTGAATGTCTTCAAGTTCAAAAATATAATGGCAAATAAAGAATATGTGTTGATTTTGCAAATCAAAATGCATCTTACCCAAAAGTAGTTATTCATTCCCATAATTGATTGATTAGTTGATGTTTAGTTGGTTTCCTAATTATGATATTTCTTGGTACCTTCTCAAGCTCTCATCAAATAAAAAAATATTCGGTTGATTGTGAAAAGGTAGCTTTTATTATAAGAGATGGATTATACAGTTGCAATATTAGGTCATTCGACTTGAAAAATGCAGACGCTACTTATTAGAGAAAGATTGATTGAATCTTAAAGTAGAAAAGGAAAGAAATATTGAGATATATATGGATTACTTATCGATAAAGAGTAAGACTCTCAAATAACACAACTTATATTTTGATGATATTTTCACGACTTTAAGGGAACTCAATAATTGCTCCAACACTTTGAAGTGCACTTTTAGTGTTGGGTCAAATTTTTTTAGATTTTATACTCACTATTAAAGGAATAATGATGAATACTAGTAAAGTGAAGGCTATTCTAGATATGCCGCTCCACAAAACTTCTAAGAAACTCAAATTGGTTAGGGAGAATAATAAGATTAAGTCATTTTGCTTCAAAATATAAGGATAGATGCTTACCAGTTTATTCAAAACTATGTAGAGTACAAAATAGTTTGTATGGAATGATGATTATGGAAAAGATTTTTATTTGCAAAAAAGATTCATTTCTTTTAGAGTAAACAACTATTATAGGACTTTTTTATTCTTTGGTATGGAAGAAGAGGCTATAAGCTCCTTATTGATAAAGTAAGATAATAGATTGCTCTATTTTTATACTAGTATAATCCTCAAATGACCTAATTTGATGTATCTGATTATGAAAAAGTTGACCTAAGTATTAATGATTACACCAAGATGGCTTTGATCATATTTTCAGGAACATTCCATACAAGTCATCATGGATCCCTCAATGAAAATTGTGTTGTGAAAGCTTGATCATTCAATGGAATTTTGAAATGGTTGGTCTTGTTAAGTGAATTTCCAATTTCATATATTCATGAAATTACAATAAAAGGCACAAGCGTTAGTTAATTTAATAGTTGAATTTACTTTTCCCAAGGCTAAGAAGAAAGTTAAAATAAAATAAAATAAAAAAACGTGATTTGGAAACTTCATGTTAGTGGAGGCACTAGAACCTAATGAGTCAAAGTTGGAATGGTTTTAGGAAGTATAATAGAAATTACTTTAACACATTCCCTACAATATTCCCCACTACATGAGATAATTTTAAAGCAAACAAATTTTTGTTGACTCTACTAGTGAATAATTTCTCTCTCCATCTTTTGATATTCCATCACATTCATATAGAATTCCTTTTGTTTGGGTTAACTTCCCTCTTCTTTGAGAATTCTCTCATTTCTTACTTCATCTATTATTGTTTCTCTTAGTTCCAACTTGACCCCTTATCATGTTTACCATGGCTAGGATTTATTTCATCACCTTCTCTTATTAATGATGTCTCGTTAACTCATTAAATTTGCATGAATCATGCATGTCTATATGGATACTCTATAATAGACTTCCTTCTAGCTGCATGGTGGGTTATGCTTCAGTCTTCTTCGATCTTTTCTCCTTAGTTCCTTAAGATTTACCATGTATTTGGAGAGTCTTTCTCAAGTGCATGTCATCTTGGAGAGATTTATTCTATACAAGCTCCACACCACTGTCTGTTAAGTTAGGTTCACTGCTAATTAGATGGTCCCAATTCTTTGTTCCATCATCTTCAAACTCACTCTAGCATCATGGGGTTAAATAAGATCGATAATTCTTCAAATCCAGATGTTGTGCCATCATCATGACCTGCCTCACCTCACACCCATACTTCTCCTCCCCTTTCTTAATAGAGGGGATTGTGTCGATCAATCTGCCTTCTCCTCCTTGTTATGTCTTAACATATGTATGGACTTTCATATACGAAGAGAGTTATGAGCTAGCTAAGTTATTCTTGGGCATTTTTTCTTATTTAACTCTACTCCTCATTTGGTTAAGTGGGATAAGAGAAATAAAAATAAGAGGTTATGTTAAGAAGTACTTGCATTGATTAGCTCTTTAAACATTTTTATATTATTCATTCCAAATCATGCTCCTCTAATTCCATCTCGATATACTTCCATGATCACCTCATTGATGATATATCCATAATCAAGAATTCACACTTCTCTCATCTA